ATTAGCTAATAAATGTCTGTTTTGGCTTGATGTAGACACTCATTAATCATGGCTATTAATACCTTCTTTGAAGAAATATATGAAACAACTAACCAAATGATTCTCTAGAGAAGACTGATCACTGCACATGCACTAAAAATCCAGATATCATTTCTTCGAATGCAAAAATGCCTATGGTCACTAGAATTAAGAGACTGTGAAGTCACTAATAGCATTTTCAGAACTACTACTTTTATACAAATGTCCACCCAACATAATGAACCTAATTATCTGATTTAATGTAAAAAAAATACAGAATGCATACCACGTTTACCAGGTTGCATGTTCTGGAAAAAATAATTCATTTTCTAATATAATAAGTAAATTAAACTAGGAAGATGAATCTGCTGTCAGACACTACGTATAAACAAACATAAGGAGACTCTAAAAGGTGGAGAGAAGAAAGCAGGCTGACCAGGGAGTCCAACACCCAAGAAACGACACAGTGCTGAGTGTCCTTTCTTCTTGTCTCATAAATCCCAGATCTGGGGCTAAAGAAGCCAGCAACCTGGAACACCAACAAACACAGTCCAAAAAAAGCTCCAGCAGAAAGCCTGCTCTCTAGCCAAAAGACCAGGAAAGGGACCACACAGCAAGACAAAACTTGTAGACAATAATTGCTCTACTTCAGCCAAACACCACAGAACAAGCTGTGGCCCTGTCCCCACTCACACTGGGCTATTGCAGGGATTCAACCCACCCCTCCCCCCGTGTCTGCGGAGGCCCTAGGGGATCCTAAACTCTCCCTGTCCTCACCCAAGGAGGCACCAGTGGAGGCCTAGTGGGGAACATGGCCTTCTTCCCCTCTTCGGCAGTACTAAAGTGGGACACCCACTTCTCCTGCCAGAGCAGTGTCAGAAGAAGCTGGCTAAAATTAAGACTCAGTCTCATAGCATAAGACCACAAAATGTCCAGTCTTCAATAGAAATCACTCATATACCAATCAAAAGGAGGGGGCATGGGCAAGAGGGAAATGGGTTTAATTATAAAAGGGCAATAAGGGGGCTTGTGCTGATAGAAATGTTCTATATCTTAACTCATTAACGGCAATATTCTGGTTGTTAAGTTACGTATTTTGCAAGATGTTATCACTGGAGGACGTGGACAGCAACAGGTCATAAACCAGAAAGGTCAGAAATCTTGGCAGCTTCAACCACCAAGAACACACTGCAAGGCAAGGAATTAACTTCTGAAAGTGAAGAGTCAAAATAGTTTGGCACCTATATGCCCAAATTTAAACAAGTATTCATAGCAGAATCTTACAATATCACATTATTTATTCATCTTTCCCATGTATTTCTAACATATGCAATTATCTTTGCTTACATGCAGGTTTGCCTAGACACACAAATCTGAGGAGATAAAAACCTGCTACAAGGAAAACAAAAGCAGCAATATTGAAGCTCAAATGACAATATGGAAATACTGGGAAGAGACAGAAAACTATTTAAAGAAACAGACCCAGGCTAGATGTAACGTGTGGTATTCTGGATTGAATCCTGCAACTAAGAGCATTAGTGGAAAACTGTGAAATCTAAATAAATCTCAAGTCTAGTTAATTGTAATATATCAAAGTTGGATTCTTAGTTTTGATAAATGTACAATGGTAATGTAAGATGTTGACATTAGGGGATACTGGGTGAAGGGCACATGAAAACAAGCTGTATTATTTTTGTTACCTTTCTGTAAACCTAAAACTACTCCAAAAAAATGGTTATCTGTCTTTACGCCAGTAACACGCTATTACAATTCCTGTGGCTTTGTAATATATTTTGAAATCAGGAAGTGTTATGCCTCCAGCTTTGTTCTTTTTCAAGACTGTTTCGGTTGGCTACTCAAGATCTTTTGTCGTTCCATATGAACTTCGGAACTGTGCCTTTCATTTCTGTAAGAAATGCCACTGGGATTTTGACAGGAATTGCACTGGATCTGTAGATCACTTTGGGTAGCATGAACATCTTAACAATACTAAGTCTTCCAATCCATGAACATGGATATCTATTTGTATCTTTTCTTTAATGGATGTTTTGTAGTTTTCAGTGTGTAAGTCTTTTGTTTCCTTAGGTAAGTTTATGTCTAAGTATTTTATTCTTTTGGATGCTACTTATGGGTTTTCTTAATTTCCTTTTCAGCTAGGTCATTACTAGTATATAGAAAACACACGGATTTTTGCACATTGATCTTGTATCCTGCAACTTTACTGAATTCATTCATTAGTCACAGCAGTTTTTTTAAATTGAGTCTTTGGGGTTTCCTATATATAAGATCATGTCATCCGCAGGTGGGGAAAATTTTACTTCTACCATTTCAATTTGTAAGCCTTT